CCCGCGCAGGGGAAAGCAGGACACAGACGGCTCATCGGACCGGCCACCGCGGTACTGTAGTGATTTCGCATAAAGTTAAATAGAAAAAATAAATAAATAGATAAGTTCCACTGTTGTCGCATACGATGGAGTTCCTTGAGCAGATCCTCGATCAACGACTTCGCGACATCGTCGAGCTGAACATCAACCAATGCGGATTCGTAAAGGGCTCTGGAACAATCGATGCAATCTTCGCCGCTCCGCATACTTTTGGAGAAACATCGGGAAAAGCAAAAGCCGCTCCATTTTGTCTTCTAGGACTTGGAAAAAGTGTATGGCCGCGTTCCACATCAGCGAGGCAGCGCCAAAAATAAGCGTCATTTTTGTGATTGGGATAATCGGTAATGTCCAAAAGAAAATTTTAGCGGGAATAAGTCAAAGGAAGGTCACGACTTACGGAGTCTGCTACCGGTGGCTGCCATTTTGCAATCACAGGGAAGCGCACTGGTCCGAAGTGGCGAAAAAAGAATGCGTGCGGTCGCGAATTGGGTAAAGCGCCCTGAGAGGGACAAGGTTTATTACTTTTCCGCGACGCCGTGCCTTATTTGTCAAGTGATTTGTAGTCTTTCCGAAGGCAATTGTGTTATACACGATCTTCATCAGCGTAACAGTGGTCAAACCCTATTTCTATCTTTTTTTGTGAATTGTGAGAATGATTTTGGTGCAATTTCACCTCCTGTTTTCAGAAAACATATTCGTGGGTATGTACGCCAGGTTTGGATCAGTAGCTATGGTACATATGGAGGTGGGTCATCCAAATTCGCACATGTCGAGATGCTAAGTGAGGCTCACTTTGCTACTAGCTCCTGCAGAAATAGAACTATCTGAGCTATTACATTTGCAGCTTATATTTATTTTTGTAAGTGGCGTGTTGTGCTTTGGAGATGGTTCAGAGACACAGTGTTCACGTTGCAGCAATGTGAGCCCTACCTAGATTTGGAGTCTGGTCTGGTTGGAGGCACGTTGATCGCGGGCGTAACCAGCTACGGCTACGCTCATTGGTGGGCCACTGCCTTCTGTTGCAGCCCACCAATGAGAAACGCGCATTATAGAGCTGGCTCAGCCCACACAACCAACGCGAAATGTGCCTTTAATCCTTTGAGAATCTCCACGTAGCGTTATCACACATACACGTGGCAGTGTACACGACCGAGTAGCAGCTGTATGAACAGCTTTTCTGTATAAGTCTAAGTCCACAGTATCTGTCACAGAAAATGCACATACAAATGGACGAAAAAAACTGTCCAGAAAATATGTAAAATAAAATAAAATCGTTTCAGACAGCTCACGGTGCTTTGGCCTCACAATGGATTATACTCGGATCTTGGTGTTTTTTCAGGTTGATGATGATACTAAATTTCCGACCGGTATCGCATGCGTCGTATTCCGATCACGCGAGTCTTACCTGGCAGCACTCATGAAGAACCCCGTACGTGTGCGTTTTGGTGGCAGAAGAACAAAGGTGCAAGTTTTAAAATGAAATTTTGTTAGATGAAGGTCATATGGAACATACAGAACGTTCACGAAGGCGAGGGGCAAACAGGAGGGAGGGGATCTTTCTAAATAGCTTTCTGGGTGTGAAGAAGAAGCTCCGCGAATATGAACCTTTCTTCGATGTGACCCTTATATACACCAGTTTAGCTGCGCACGATACCTGAAGAGACCCCCCCCGCCCAGCGGTGACAGATAGACAATCTAAAAGCCAATATTTATGATCGATATTGATTGGTACCGCGTGATTCAATAGAATTTTGATTGTTGACCCCATTAATCTATAGTGTGATTAGCAGGCAAATCAGAACCTCCCAGACAAAAAACGATATTTTCAGTCGATATCGATCGATAGCATAACCCATTGGGATTTCCACTATTACTACAGCTCCCAATCAATAGTGTGTTTCCCAACCTTATTAGAGCTAGTCTGCCAACAACCGATATTCAATCCGTATAATGATAACCTGTGACGCCGATCTAAAATACAGCTCCTACGAAACGACCCAATCAATATATGTGATTCGCGACTAGCAATTCGAGGCCTCTGCGCGAAATCCTACTGAGATTTTGGCGCAATTCCCACCCACCTGATCGAGCTCCGCCCACTACCATACCCTTTCTGACCAAGTCTTGCCTTCGTCCTACGCGCCCTAGGGGCAACTTCCCACACATCCGGAACCATGTCTTAATTGGGTCTACGTAGCGTGCAATCTAGTGGTTACAAACAGACAGCCAAACACACCAAACTTCTGCTTTATATACAGAGTGGATTGGCGACATGGCCCGACTACGCGATGGCTACGTGCGGGGGCGGTCTGCGCGAGTTTACAAGCCGCTCCATGAGGTAGCTTAACCCATTTGACGTAGACACAGTGCCCTTCGATCAGCTCCGAGAACCCTGACCCGACATCTGTAGTTCTTATAACCAGACGCAAGACCAAAAAATCTGTATACAAATTCGGAAATACACCCCCCCCCTTTGCACCCATTGCAAGTTGCGCAAAAAAGCGAGCACCACACAGGGTATCGCTCTAATCACCGAACACCTCGTCCCTCCTAGCCCTGCGGCAGCATTATCATCCAAAAGCCTAATTCATGTGGACCCCATCAGTCCCGTCCACTGTGATTATCCCATCATATCATGTTTCATCCACGCGGCAGCAGTGTACCCCCCCCTGCCGCACTACTGTACAGAGCGCACATCGACGTGGACAAAACCCCGGAAATGAAACATAGTCAGCAACATCAGGCCCTCCAACTACAACTACCGTGACCACATAGTCCGCTTCTAGACGAAACAACAATTCTTGACATTGTCAACTCCCGCTCTATCTACAATATAAGGCGATCGGCCATTCACATTAATTTCGGTTTTCGAATAAACAGTTCGCAAGCGTGGCGCCATCTACGAACGCATCGATTGGTCAATACCAATGTTCCATTCTCTATCATTTTCCTTGTATTCGAGATAATTTTACAGATAGGGTTTGATAGTGTACATTGAGTATTGATTTTCACTTTGAGAATCAACATGACGCGGTATATTCCACGAAGAAATGCGCCAATGTGTGATATTTGCTGTTTCATACCAACTGGCCCCCACTCGTCATCATTCACACTGTCTGCAGTACACAGTTGAGGTGAATTGATGTTCTCCTATATCCTTTCACATGTTTTCTCGGCGCAATGTGGCTCGGGGGGGGGGCAGTCGCCGCGCGCGGCTCAGCGATGTTGTGTAACTCGAACATTCCAGCTTCTCACGGAACAATCCAGCTTCTCACGCATGTCAAGTGACTGCCCTCACCCCAACCCCCCTGAATTGGCTACATTCCCCCTGGCTCACGAATTTCCTTGTTGCCGCACACGCCGCGCGCGGCGACTGGCCCCCCCCCCCCACCCGAAAGGACGTAAGCAAACCAGCCCTTTTGGCACATCGGCTGGGACCGTATGCTGAATGTTGGGGAGGGGATGGTGTCCCCGACGGTGGACGGACAACTTCAACGCGGTCCTTAGAACCGCCACAATTTGGCGCTTACCTTAGAACTAAGCCTTAAAGAGAGGACGGGTCCGTCCCCTCTCCTAGGCTTAGTCCAAGGGTGAGCAGACCGGTCCTTCTGGCGAAGCTACTGGACCAGCTGCACCACTTGCGTCAGTACTCTCCTATCGTACCAACCGAGTTGAAGTAAACCGTCGACCGTTGGGGACCCCATCCCCTCCCCAACATTCAGCATACGGTCCCAGCCGATGTGCCAAAAGGGCTGGTTTGCTTACGTCCCCCCAACCACCCTGAGCACAATTGCGCCGTTTTAATCTAAGTGGATGAACATAGTATGATGGAAACTTTCCAGTCTCTGCACTCAATATACATTGAAAATCTGCGTCTGTTGCACAAGAAATAGAGAGATGTACGATTGACCAATACAGATTGACCCAAGAAGCAAAGCGACAGGACTACGTCTGGAGGAACAAGCACATCCGCGGTTGACTGCTTCGCGACCAACCAACCCATATCAAAGACTATATCGAATGGTCTTCTGAGGACTAAGCCTCCTCGATAAGAAATGTATCAATTTCCAAAAAAAATTTATCCATCGTTTTGTAAGAAACAGTTTTCTTTAGATTTTATCTCGATTGTTATCTAAAAAGTAATTGTTTTGTAAGAATTGGTTTCCTTCAACTTTTCTTGTCTAAGAAGTATCTGTTTATCTGATTACGTTTGTTTCTCCTTGGTCTTTTGGTAATGAAATTTTTTCGAAATTCTACTTTTACAAAGGTTTTTCGTATTGAATTGTCATTGTCTAACGCTGCTATCGCCTATTCGTCTCTTATTTATTTGTCTACATATTTAGCTTGCGATAGGATGACACGGTTCTTGTTATTGCAGAAAGGTACTGGAAATTTGCAGTGAGCAGTTCGTAGTCATTAAGCAAATGGTTCCAGCCTTGGAATATTCAACGTCATCTCAGGTTAATCTTTCTGAAGCTCCTTAGCTGTGCCATCAAGATAACAATTTCGGCGCTACTCAAGGGGCGATGGAGCGGGGGAGGTGTGCATCGCTATGCAGACTGAGCCTAGGAGAGGACCCCCCTCCCCTCTGAAAAAGTGAAAAGTCATTACACTTGCAACCCCCTTCCTCTCCCCTTTAGTTCTGTCCATGGCTTGGCCCTAGGGGGGAGCGGAGAATCCTTAGTGTGTTGGGCTTTCCGCATAACGAATGCCCCTGCGTAACCACTTGCAATTTTTGCGATTCGCACGAATCGCGCGACGGATCGCGTACTCTGACACAAGCCTAACACGCCACATGAATTACGGCGTAGCGACTACTGGAGAGGGGGACTACGCGGATTCCATGCAGAATGATAACGAGACCTTTCTCGACATTCTACGCCTGTTTACAGATTTTCAGCAAATTTAGAGATTTAAATTGTATGTTGTGTGGAGGAAAGGAGCGATCAGAAAATCCACGCGACCGAGTCTGAAAGGGTCCAATCTTTCTGCAAACGGCAGTTTTTGGCGAAGATTAGGCTTTGAGATGCAAAAGTAGTTCGCAAACGTACCAAGCGTACTTCTCAAGAAGTACAAAAAAGAACCTTCACATCAAGGACCCAAACCCGGGTTGGTTGAAATAGAAATAGGGGCGGCGCGTTATCTCGCGCACCTAATTAGGCTTGTCTACAACCATGATGCAAGCAATACCATAGTGCGAAGACATAAAGGTCTATGTGCTACGCACCTCTCAGGCCGATGTCATAGTTTGCGAATCGAGCGAGCGCTCGCTGGATCCGAGCGTTGCGCCAGCGAATCGAACGTTGCACCAGCGAATCGAACTTTGCACCAGCGAGTCGAACGATGTACCAGCGAGTCGAACTACCAGCGACTCAATAGTGGCGGGACCCAACGTTCAAAGGAAGCCCGCTACTTTCGAACAGTGTCACGTGACGAGTCTCATTTTAAATGGTGCCTTCAGACTACCATCCTCTTGTAAAAAGAATATTTTTCAGTGCGAGTGCCCCGCAGCACCACATCCAACATTTATCAGAGGGGAGCAGGAGACGCGCTCACCACCTCCGCTCGAAGTACGCCGTTCGTCAGGTCTTCGCGATTCGGTCAGTATAGCAATTCAACCTGGAACGTCTATTCGGGAATCTGAGGAAACGGACCCGGTGTTGAACCTTTCAATTCAGTCCGTTAGCTTTTCATCTAACTAACTACGATCAACAAATGCATAAATCTTAGATGAGTAAACTTCCTAATAGAATCGCCAATGTTGAATGTATCGTTCTCAGGAGTGGCCCATCTGGCGCCAGTTGGCGTCACCTTGTCACGACCCTTGTTTTCACCAAAATCGGTGTAAACTTCTGTATAGGGGTTATTTGGGCCCTGATTACGAATATGACATTCGTTTTTGGCGTTAACGTTGTTTAGTGCATATTTCTCGGTTGGAGAGCGCAGACGAGCAGAAAATAGGCGCCAAATAGCGCCAGCGCCATATTCGTAATCAGGACACCAAATAACCCCTATACGGAAGTTTACACCAAATTTGGTGAAAACAGGTGTCGTGACACAAGGTGGCGCCAACTGGCGCCAGATGGCGCCAGCGCTAAAAATGAAAGTCATTTTCGTAATCAGGGCATCGACTTACCTCTATAGGCAAATTTGCGGTGGTTTCTAAGGTGTACAAAGTTACACTGCACGAGCGGGGTGGTTTTACGTGAAATCGGCGCAGGGCTTATCTACCGGAAATTAGGGTATGTATTTGCGATTCGATGACCGCTAGGCCGAAAACCCACGTTGTCGACAAAGGAACTTGTGAGCTCCTGATTGTAGGCGCAGAACTCATTGGGGCCGTATCTCCTATGACGCTTCTAACGCTAAGGTGATTCCAATCAACCTCCTATTTCTCTAGAATTATCTGACATTGCTTACTACATGAACTAGAACTTGAAGCGACAACCCAGATCGAATTGGTGAGGTGACAGCCGTTGATAATGATGGCGGACATGCTTTTTAAACACAATCCCATCCGATGCATCTATCACATCTATTTATTATCAGCTATTTTATCCGCTACGGCCGTAATCCACGTTACATGCCAGTGGATGCGAGGCTCGTCCATAAGTTCACAGCATCATTTTGTGATTCCATACCCCAGAGTCAACCCTGCGTTGCGCAGTTCGCAACGGCACGTTGAGAGATCCTCAACGCACGCTGTATGGGCGGAGACACAGACGGCTCGAGCATGCGAGTGTGAATGTTCGCGCGAGAGAACGTGTCTAATCGGGCGAAACTGCGCAACGTGGCCGTTGAGAACTGCGCAACGCAGGGTTGACTCTGCTCCGTCACGCATTTTCGTGCTGCGACACGAGGTACATCTGTGATACTCGTGGGCTACTCTATCTCATCCAAGAGTAGCCTTCGGCGCGACCTTATCTAGGTTGCTGCTTTAAGTACTCGACTAAGACCTCCTCCATCACCTTCATCTGATTTAATTAGGGAATTGTTAAGAATTTCTTCTGAACTAGGGCTTACACGTTGCTACGACCGAGAACGCACGCGAAATTTATATCTTTATGTACTATGTGCATTGGCACTCTTAGGTTTTTTTGAGCGATGGTCGCGATTCACAGCCACTGCTTCTAAGGAAATGTGAAACTAGTGAGTCGCACTCGAGCAGTTAGCCTAATCAAAGATCCCGTAGTGAAACCGGACAAGAATACGATCTACTGTATTGTCTTTCAGTCGCTACGTATACAGAGTATCGGTGAACCATTGGTAAGCCGGCGTGGTAGCGCCGCAGACGGAAGTCGAAATAGCAATTCACCATATTTATCTCGTCCAACGCAAAGCATGCCGAGTACTGATCCAGTTGCTTCCTTCATGAGGGCTTTAGTGAATAAGTAAGTTCTACTGGTAGTAACTTAGATAGATCTTCATAATTGAGAGTTGCTGCTAGTTCTCATCATCCGAATCTGTATTATCATTAACACTGATTTATAATTCTTTAGGATCTTCGCGAACCCTCCACCACGGAGGGACAGAAGGCAAGAAGTAGTGATATCCGAACGAAATAACGCCCCGGCTACGGTGACTGCAAATAGTAGATCTTTAAATATCGGTGATATTTCCATAACTCCTCAGAATCAGAGAAGTACAAGTAATCTGCCCTACCCTCCATCTCACCATGATCACGAGCAAATTTCAACTCTGGAACAGGTGAGCGATTTCTCTCAAT